GATGAAACGAAGTACATAAGAAAGTTTAATTTATTCGATTTTGTTCCGTTTTTCAAAGTAAAAGTAAAATCAAAATGTTCCGGTTCAATTTGATTTTTTACATTCTATTTCAATTTTTTCAGTTCAATCTTTTTTCTAGATCCTTTTGATTAGTTTCCGACAACTGACTCGTGACAATCACCCACTGAGGTGCCCATCATAATGCAATTCCAAGGACCATGCTACACTTACACCAAAAAATATACCCCATTTGTACACCACAGGTTTGCACACACATTTCGATGGTTTACACCGACACAAGTGTTGGTGCGTTAAAAAAAATTCACACGGACACAAATGTTGGTACGTTTAACAAAAATTAGTTTTACACCAACACAAAGTGTTGGTGCAAAACTGCGGGGTACAAATTGGGGTACAAACCTTGGGGTACACATAGCATAATCCCAATTCCAATAGTGGAAGTACTGTGGTAATTTCTTTGCAAAATTAAATACAGAGTACTCCAATTGGGGAAGTAATCTGTATTTACTTGCTCTGTCTAGTCAACTGTCAACTTCATTTACTACTGCAGTAACTCCGGAAATGTACACATTTTAAAAAATATAAAAAATTTTACGTATTAAGATTTTCTAAAAATATTTTATTTTATCAAAAGATGACTAAAAGACAATATGTATACTATCCAATGCACTTCTTTAATCCATTTTATCTTATAATTTGTATATTCAAAAATTATAAAAATTATATATTAATAATATATATGTTAAGACAAATCAAACACGATCCACATGACTATATTTAGGCTTACACATTGAGAAAATTTGATGAGTTAAAGTGTTTAGATGAACAATTCCAAAAGTCAAATGTGGACAAATACAGGGAACGGAGGGAGTAATAATTAAATACGCAGTAAATGTTATCGAGAAATCAATAATAATTTAGACAATAATAATTTAGACGTTCTTTGGACTCATATTATACTTTGTCCGTTCCTGAGTGTTTATCCACTTTTAACTTTTAGAAATATTTTTCTAAGCACCTTGACTATTAATGTGTAAGCCTAAAAATAGTCATTGTGATCTTGTTTGACACGTCTTAACATATAAATTACTCTGTATTAATATATAATTATTATAATTTTTTAATATACAAATTACAAGATAAATTGGATTAAAGAAGTAAATTGAATGATGTACAAGAATGAAAGTGGACAAACACTCAAGGACGGAGTGAGTACTTGTTTGCCGTACATATATGGAATATTAATGGTTATTTTGTTCAACTTGTTTTTTAGTTTAGTACTCCTTATGTCTTCTTATTCAAATTAGCCCAGATCTAATCAAATCAAATAATATAAAAAGAGAGATTAATTCCATAGAAGTTCCATAGTTATAGTTCATTTTACATATTTAGTCTCTACAATGGAATATTAAATATCAATAATTGTCTTCAATTATGATATTGTTTTCTACAAATTTTCCTTTGTTAACATTCATTTTGAAAGGTTAAAAAATTACTATATGTTAAAAAAGCTCTATAAAATAAGATGACAGGAATATATCATTTTATCAAATAAACAATAAATATAGATCAACTAAGTGAATAAAATATGTCTCCATCAATAGTAAACGGAAATACAATTTTTATAACTGAAAGTACATGATTGTGATGAAAAAATGTGAACAAATACTTCATCATAATGGAATCAATAAAAGTGTTCATCGGGTCAAACCCAAACCGAACCAGCCCTAACCGAAATTGAATAAGGGGCATATGGTAGACTGAGGAGACCTGAGACCAAACTAGGGCTAGACTAAATAAATTTATTTTTAATTTTTTTAATTTGTTTTTATTTATTTAATTTAAAGTATAACTTTGTTGATATTTAGAAAGAGAGTGCGTAAAATAAGGGACGGAGTAAATTAAGGAGTTGTTTTGACCCATAATTACAGTCGTAAAAGGAAATAAGAAGAATAACAATGGAAATTAGGGGAAGCGTGAAAGTTTATTTTAAATGGAGGGGTTGGAAACATTATAAAAATCTTACATTCATAACAAAAAACATTAAAAAAATTACATTTTCAATGCGTGCAACCATACTCCAAGCATGACCGTGCCACGCAGTGGGACAATTTTTCCATTCCCAATGCGTGCAATCAATACTCCCAAGCAGGCCGACGAAGCCATGTTTAGCGGCATGTCTCGCCTGCAACTGCTGGATGTCGTTCGCTGTAGGCTTGCGTAAATATTTTTTATGATAAATTTGAATAATAGGTTTTGAAAATTTATAAACACAAGACCTGATGCTCCGAGCCGACATCTTCAAATATTCGTCGAACATATCGGATGTTGTCTCGTACGCCAATTGACGGAGCGCGGCAGTGCACTTCTGGACGCTACTAAACCCGCGTCGGCCTCTTGCATCAAACTGTTGGGTGAACCAAGGAAACTCGCGTTCAAGATCGGTGAGTATGCGTAAGAAAAGAGAACGACTCATCCGAAAACAATTACTAAAATCTTCTGGTGTATAAACACACTGATTATTAAAGTAGTCGTTTAGAAGTGAAGCGTGGGCAGCCTCTCGATCACGGTTTAGGCGTTGGCGTCGGGTCCATCGTCGGGAGGATTCGGCTTCTTCTTGACCATCTTCCCACCATTGATTTTTTTTTAAATTTTGGGGTGGGTAACGGCTATATAGCCGTTGGGAAGGGGGAGCCGGCGAAAAATTGCATCACGCCGCGTCAAACTAATGACACGGGATGTCTCACGCCCGAATCATGCCGAAGGGGGGCGGTGTTTAACGCCCAGGCATTAAACGCCCGTATCACGGCGGTGGGCGTGATGGGCATTTCCAGTGCTCTAAGACAAAAAAAAGAAGTGTAAAATTATAATTGACTTCCAATTTTACTCCGATGTGATTGGTAAAAGTAAGATGAAATATATTTAATATTAGAGAAAAAATATAATGTGATATGTATGGTATAAAAAAGTAAGTGTACAAGTAATTTTTTATTAGAAAGGAGAAGTGTTTTGTTGGAAGTGGAAAAAAATAAAAGAGGAAGCTTTTTTAGAACGGATGGAGTAGATTTTTTTGATCTATTATAGAAGAGTGCATTAGAACGGATGGGGTAAAAGTAATAAATAAAATAATTTTAAAAGAGATAATACCCCGTAGTATTTTACTCCCTCCGTCCTAAAACTTTCTTCCCAGGGCACTATTCAAACTTCACGGGAATTTATATTTATTTGTGTTTTTTCATGGCGTATATGATAAAATAAAATATTCTTGTCACCACTTGTTTTGTTGAACTTTTGATGTAGTTTTTAAATATGTATGTTTTATTTTTTATTTCTATACCAATATTTAAATAAAATAGATTGAAAAAAATTGGGATTTTTCTTCGTTTTGCGAACCGGGAAGAAAGTTTTAGGACGGAGGGAGTATATGTTGTTCAAAATATAGGTGCAAACTTGGGACAATGGGCGAGTAAATAAAGAAAAAAATGAAAAAAAGACTAGAATATGAGTAAAATATTGAAAATATACCAAAATTAGATTTTGATATTTTTATTCTCGAAACAGAAGTTAAAACACATTTACATTATTAATGAGTATAGTAATGTGCACGTGTACAGTGCCATATTATATCTACATTGCCACAATGCAAAATTCTATTTTATAAATTAAAAAAAAGAAGTCATATTTTAGTACGGAGTATCTTTTCTAAATTTTAGTCTTATTTAAAGTGATTTTTAGAAAAGATCACATGTAGAAAGCTATCTTCCTAGATTCACAAAAGATGTACTCAGATTCGAGCCCCCATGTTTGTAGAGGGGTATTAATTCTTTCTATGTGATTACGATGAAAAATGTGAACAAATACCAAATTTAAGTTATTGAATGTAATGTTTACTTTTTTATCTTTTACTTTTTTCATATTAAAAATGTTTACTTGTTCATGTGTGTAACGTTTATTTTTTTATTTTTCACGTTTTTCATATTAAAAATATTTAAAAATCACTAGTATTGATATCTTATTTTGATTTGAAAATATATTTAAAAAGTTATACTATATTAAATAATAAAAGAAAAAAAGTTAAAAAACTTCTAATATTAAAGTTAAATTAATTTTAAGTATAAGAAAAAATCTTTAAAAATACAACATTCTAAAACTATATACAAAAAAATATTTCCAAAAAAATTAAATGTAACCAGTCCACCGGACCGGACGGAAACCTAGTGGTGTGGACCGGACTGAACCAGAATTTGAATAAGGAAAAAATGAGGATCAAAGATCGAACTGAATAAGGACCGATCTGATCCGATTTTGGCCGGGTTTCGGGTTGGCCTAGGTCCGGACCAAATACTGTACCGCCCTAGAATCAATTACTAGCTAGTCCCTAATGTGATTATAGTATTTTTGGAAAGTCAATACCAAAATATCCCTCTCTTAATTTCCTAAAAAGTCAAACCGTCCCATTCTTTTTGGGACGGAGGGAGTATTTGTTTAGGTTATTTAATTAAGTATTTGATAAAATAAATATTTTTGTCACTCCTTAGTTTGTAGAACTTTTTACGTAATTTTTTAATATGTAATAATTATTTTTTCTTATCAATATACCAATTAGTAAATAAAATAATTTCAAAAAATAAGATATGTTTTTCTGGTAAACCTCATTTTGTAGTCAAAATTTAGAGATAGATGAGTATAATTTTGTTGATACGGAATATTTAGAAAGAGAGAGCGTATAATAGGGGACGGAGTAAATTAGGGAGTTGTTTATTGACCCATAATTACGGTCGTAAAACTGTAAAAGAAAATAAAAAGAATTAACAATGAAAATCAGGGGAAGCGTGAAAGTTTACTTTAAATGGAGGGGTTGGAAACAGCCCTACCCCACCAAATTCCGTTCACATGCATTCCACTTGTATTTTCCCCCAAATAATATTATTACCCCTTTATATACATGCCAAAGTGAATAGGGCAGCAGTTATCTCGCTCGATCTCTCCGCCTCCCTTCATTCTCTTCAACTTCGTTTCAATTCACATATTTTTTCTCTCTTGTGGTTTTCTACTATATACCATTTTCTGGAATGGATTCGGTTGGAGGATCACTTTCTTCTGTTCTCGTCTCTGATCTCATCTATTCTAGGAGGATTATAGTTTATATGATATTTTTCTTCTTTTGATATTTTTTTGATTTTAATTATGGTGAATTTTGATTGTAGATCTTTTAGATTTGTTGATCCTACATGTTTTCTATTTGATTTGTTCTCATCTCTATTTAGATCTAACTTATTTGAGGGCTGATCTTTGGATCCGTTCAATTATGCACTCATATCCGTTTACATGTTTCTTTTCTCAAATGTATTTTCTTTTTCTAAGGAATTTTAAATTAATCTATTTATTTTATTTGGAAAAAACAACAGTCTTATTCTTTGATCATATCCCTATAAAGTACTCCGTAATTGTTGTTTTATATTTCATATTTCATTTGTTTCGTAAAACTGCTTTTGGCTATCCTCGTTTATCAAATGCAGTTATTAGAGAACTGCAAAATAACTTTTAATTTATATTTTAAGGTTCACTCTAATTTTAATGCGGTTAATATTGCCGGAATAAATGATATTTTAGAAATAATTGTTATATTTTTGTAATTACGAGTATTAATCATTTTATTTTTGTAATTATGCATATTAATTGTCAAAGGTATTTCGTAAATATAACCGTATGAACATATATGTTATATAAAAAAGTATATTACTTATGGTTTAAAAATTTGTTATTATCTACGGTTTTATATTTTACATCTAGTACTTCTCTTTCCAAAATTAGTTGGTGTTTATTATTTACAAGATTAATTTTTTTATTTTTTATTTTGCTGTTTTGTCTAAATGAACATACATTTTTTTATATTTAGATTGGTAGATCTTTAAAAATAATCTTTAATTATAATTTTAATTTTTATGTTATTTTTTGTACATAAATTTAGGATTTTCCCATTTAAAACGATCTTTAGTAATTTTACTTATAATTTTTTCATTTAAGATATTTTGTTGGATATGAAGTGGTCTTTTGGCATATTTAATTGCATTTTTTTGTTTATTTTAGTAGTTAATAATATAGTAATACAAATCATGACTAATAAAATTTAAGATTATAAATGTTTAGCTTTGAAACATATTCTATGAAAATGACGAATAATCTGGGAAAGAATGTTGCCCATGTTCAATTTCTTTACCATTTAGTGTTACTGGGCCACTGGAAGCCCAATTTTTACAGTTTTGTCTCCCTTCCCCATTTCTTTTACCCACCATAAACCCTACCCTGTTCTTTGCCTCTTTAGACATAAACCTTCACCATCTCTTCACTGCTTGAGCTTGTAATTCACAATGCCACCCAAATCCTCTAAAGGAAAGGAAGTTGAAGCTGCATCTGGGGTGAAGTTAGCAAGGTTAGTTTCAGACATTTTGTATAATTTTTCAATTTTGGATCCAATCTTTTCTGTGCCATCCAAAGTCAAGTGCATGAATTTCATGTATTTTTTCTGTTTTTTTGTAAATGTCTCTGATTTATTAAGTTTTGATAAACAAAATTTGGTGGGTTATAGATGTGATTGTTTTTTTCTTCTGTTTAGTATAACTATGTTTAAAATTAGATATTTTCTGTGTTACTTGTTTTCCTTATTTGGTTTCTTGATTATTGTTTTTAGGTATATACATTATGAAGAGTTAGACAAATCTGATAAGTTTGTATTTGACTTAAATTCTGATGTTCAAGAGTTAAAACAAAGATTTAGTATTTTAATGGAATATATGCGAAGGAAGGCTTCGGAGGAAGGTTGTGATTTTGGGGGCATATATGAAGTCAGGTGTGTTAATGGTTGCCCTTTACTTGAAATCAAAGTGACTTACAAAGACATAAGCACGAAGTTTTTAATTGCAAAGACAAATCTCTACATAGTGGGTTATTCCTATAAAGATAAGTATTACTGCTTTAAGGATGCTGATATAAAACTGATTGGTTGTGAAGATTTAGTAGAATCCACTAAGTATGAGTATTCATTTTGCACTGGTTTGGGTGCTAAGATGATGAAAAATGCATTGTATGATATGCAAAAAACAGAGCCCCCTGTTAGAAAAAAGGCGGCAGAAGCTTATTTTGTGCATCTTTCTGAATCAGCTCGCTTTAGGCCAATAGAATCTCAAATTTATGTTGGTATTGAGCTTGGTAGTGTTGCTGATTTTGATGAAATTCCGGATTGGGAAAATAAGTCTTTTGCTTGGTTTCGAAAATCAAAAAGTGTTGGAAATGAACGAAATATTATGACTTTGATTTCTCCCAGTGCTTCTCCTAATTTTGACAAGGATTCAAAGCCTTTTGACTTTGCTAGGGATCTAGTGCATAATTGGGAGTCCTTTTCTGCCTGTTGGATTTCGTACATAGGAACAGAGAGTTTGAGTTTTGATACAACGAATATGGGTATCAATTTTCAACAATGTGGGTTAAGGAATTTGCATTGTCTTAAAAGCACTCTGGCTCTGCTTTCGAATGTGAATCTTGGTAAACTTTACTCTGAAGTAGGAACGAGAAGTAAAAGTGGGGAGTTGATGAAATTGAAGGATATGATTGGGTATTGGGAAAGAGAGAGGTCATCAAAGGAACTTCCAAAGTAGGGGCTCTTTTAAAGGATGTGACATTAAAGAAAGGAAAGAACTTGAAGATTAGCTGAGAATTGGAGTCTCTGAAGAAGCTACCAAAGAAGAGCAATGTTTTGTCTTCAGAAATCTTTTCTAATGTTTTGGTACTCTAATTCTATGATTGTAATAGCTTAGGTCTAATATGACTTACCACCAACTGTTATTTTTGCTATTGGGTGGTTTCTGCCTTGCTTAGGTCTAATATGACTTACCACCAACTGTTATTTTTGCTATTGGGTGGTTTCTGCCTTAAACTTATTTCCAGTGATCCCCTTTGATCTGCTACTGATTATTTAAATGCAGTTTAATTATGTACATTTGGCACTTTATAATATTTTATTATTTTCAATTTCTGATTCTGTTTAATGCCCTCTTATAGTTTATTAAATGTTGTGTGTTGCTGTTTTTGCACTTCTTGGAATTAAGGCTTGAGTTGTAATAGAAAGTGTTTTCTCTGTATTGGTCTTAAACACCATCTTCCGTTTCTCTGTTTCCTATTTGTTTACATCAAAGTACCAATTTTACGGTGAGTAATGGGCTTGTTATGCCAGTAGACATCACCCCGTTATTGAGTTTAAAGATTTCAGCCTTTAAACTATAAGTTGTAAGAAAAATATACCATTGGGTTTGTTGCGATTGGGTGTGAATTTTAAAATGCAAAATTACCATTTTGTTTGTTTGATACAGAACACATTTTTTTTTGTAACAAGGACGGAGCATTATAAAAGGGACGTTTGTGTCGTTTCCCAATTTGAAGTGAAAAGCTGTAGTGAGGTTGAGAAATCAAAGTGCGTTTATCAATGGTCTTGGCTCTTGAGAAATTAGCGTGTCACACTCATCATGCACACACGTTTCGAACTGAAAGTCCAATTTGTTACAAAATCATAGTGAATGTATTTTATATTTGTGCTTTTTATCTACATTCTGTACTTTATTCATCATATAAAAAACCAATATGATGAATATTTATGCTTTTTTTAATTTTTTCTTAATTTCAGTGGAGGGAGTACAACTTCATAAAAATGTTGGTTAAATTTTTTACAAGCTTGAGCATAATTGAAAATTTCAAAGATAATTTTCGTTACTGTAAATGATAAATATGTACGGTCTCTGTTCACAATATTTTTTTTGTTTTGACCTTTTTCAATTAATTTTTTTAATATTTGACCGGTAAGAGCAACTTAGAGGATTTTGTATATTGTTAATTATATTCTCTCTGTCCCATTTTAATTTGTCTGTTTGTCTTTTTTCTCTGTCCCCAAATAAATTGTCTGTTAGTTGTTTTTGTAAACTATTTAAAATGAAATATAACTACTCTTAAAATAAGTCATTCTTTTTCACCTTATATTTTCATTCATCATTCCCCCTTTAAAAAGTAATGTCAATTTTAAAAAATCAACTCTATTTTTAATTTTTCTTAAATATGCCCAAAAGTCAAAACGAGCGATTTAAATTGGGACGGAGGGAATACTACCTACTATGCAATATCATGTTCCTTTTTTAGACCTCTAATGGATTGTGTAAATGTAATGCTAAAATGCACTAGAGTGCAAAAAGCCATTCCCAACTCAAAAAGCCATTCCCAACTCCGATTTATGCACTTTGATGGTGTAAAACAATTACTCCCTGCGTCTCATTTTAAATTGTCTGTTTACTTTTTTTCTTAAAATAAATTTTTTATTAGTTGTTTTTGTAAATTTTTATAAATAAAATATCTAAAAAGTAATGATAATTTTAAAAATTAACTCTATTTTTTAATTTTTTTAAATATGCCTAAAAATCAAAACAGTCCATTTAAATTGGGATGAAGGGAGTAAAAAATTATTCTCACCTCTTGGATTTACTATTCACTCCATCCGTCTCTTTTTTCATTTAGGATTAAGCTATATCCAACCTAACATTTATACCCCAATTTGTATCTTGCAGGTTTGCATCAACATTTTATGTTGGTGTGAAACCAAATTTTGTAAACGTATCAATATTTTGTGTCTTTATAATTTTTTGTTAATGCACCAACATTTGTGTCGGTGTAAACTATCAAAATGTTTTTGTATATTTGTGGTGTAAAAATGGGATACATTTTAAAGTGTAAATGTATCATTGTCCTTTCATTTACTCCGTATCACCCTACCCTTTCTTTCAATCTGCTCCGATTTATTTTTTTCACTCCATCTGGTCTGTTGAATCTAAAATTACTGTTGTCCTCCCCTCTCAAATCTCAACTAAATGGTTGCAATTTAATTGCTTGGATTGTTTGTAGGTATTGATTTAATTGTTTCTTGTTGGAGATGTTTGCGTCTTCTCCTTTGATGCTATTGATCTGTCTTTTTTCGTTTTGATGTAGGCAACTGTAATTTCATTTTGATCTCCAACTTCAGATTTTATTTGTAGATTTATTTTTTTGTATATTACAAATAAAAACGAAGATGTAAAATACTGTTGATAGTTTAAAATAACATTAACACTAACACTTTTTTCACTACTGGCCTGTTTGGGAATAGCGTTAGCGATTAGTGTTAGCGTTTTGAAAAGGCTATCAACGGGCTGCGTTTAGCGTTAGCGTTTTTAAAGTAATCTGCACCTTTAAAATTTACTTCAAAACGCTAACGCTAATCTCTAACGCTATTCCCAAACAGACCCTATATGTCTAATACGAGATGGAGGAAATAATTTAAGTTTGAATGGGAGAAGTATCATTTAACGTACGAGAAAGATTATCAAAATAGTCTTATTCTAACTAAATATTTTCCACACCACCTATCTCTTGAGGGGTGAATTTCCAAATAAAATCAACCAGAGTCGGCTACTCCATTTTAGATTGTATTTTTTTATTCAAATAGAGTAGTATTACCAAAACGGAGTTGGCTACTCCGTCTCATTTTTTATTTTTTAAATAAATACTTTAATCATTAAGAAATTTAGGGTAACATTTCACATCCCGTGCAATCATGTCCACATAGTATGTCATTACTATAGTGTCACTGTGAATACTTGATTTCAAATGTTTTTAATTACAATTCAATCCTACATCAATGCTTACTCTGGGATAATAATGCCGCTTCCAAATGATGTTGAATGGCCTATTCCGAAGTACAAGATAGTGATACCAATGCCGTGACAGAGGACAGAACCGTCCGACCTGCGAGAACTCTCTATCCAAATAACATGGACTATCGACAATGGAGACGTCGCAATGAGGAATAACTATGTCATGAATTTTAGTTATGTCTGAGTTAAGTTAGTCATGAATTGTGTTTTGTAATCTTATTTTTATGAAAAAATTGTTATATGTACTTTATTGATAAATTTAATATATTTTTTCCTCTTTTTACTTCGTTGTATAAATATCACTTATAGTCAATATGAAGTAGTTTTATTTTTAATTTTTTTTATAGTATTTTTTTACATCTATATTTTCTTTATGTTTGTTTCCTTTATTTTGTAATTCAATTATTTTTTAAAAATTTATTTATAAGTAACAAACATTAATCAATTTCATTGAGATACCAAAAATTAAATTTTTTTATAATAAAATATGTTTATAAAAAAAGTTAGAAAGGTTTAAAGCAAAAAAAATTGGAACAAAAAAGAGCCTATTGATTAAGAAAATTATCAAATAAATTACTCCGTAATAAAGAGGGAAGCGGAGTAGCTTAATCCAGTAATTAAAGGACAGAAAGGGATTAACCTACTCCAGTTGGTTTTATTTGGGAACGTGCAACATTTTTACAATGGCAGATCTAATTCCAGAATTATAATTCATATAGCATCACGATGATGTTTTGTTCTATTTTTTTTAAAAAATATGATTATGGTGCTTGTTTTTTGTTGATCTTACAAGTTGTGGATCTAACATGTTTCGTACTTGATTTATTCTTATCGTTATGTAGATCGAACGAATTTTTGAGGGATGATCTTTTACACTATGTTTGGTTCAAGGAATTTGATAGGGAAAAAGAAAAGAAAATTAAGTGGGAAATAAGTTTTCTTGTTTGGTTAGAGAGGAAAAGAAAGGAAAAGTGGAAGGAAAAGAAAATGAGAAGACAAAATGTACTAAGAGGAGGAAAACCAAAATTCCTCCCATTTTGGTGAGGAAAATGAGAGAAAATCATTTTCTTTTCTTTTCCTTCCAAATTCCTTGAACCAAACATAGTGTTAATCTTCGATTAGTGTTGAACCGGGGAAGATACCAAATTTCATAAAGAATAATTTAAAGTGAAATTTGCACAGAATAGGACTAAAACATAAGTAAAAATTTGCAAAGAATAGGACTAAAACATAAGTAATTTCCTAATGTAAGGTTTAAACTTTTTATTAACTAAATAGAACTTAATAATGACTGGTAAGACGAATAATATCCAAATGATGCTGGACATTTAGTTGAATAATGACTAATAGATAATGACCAACGTTCCTACATTAGAAAATAAAAACATATGGTCTTATATCGAAAAAGTATTATGTTTTAGTTTTATTTAGGTAAATTACCATTGAGGAAGAACGACTCAACACTAAGGGCACTGGAAATATGTATGAAGCCCCGGAACTTCTAACTTTCTCTCTCTTTCAAGTCAACTTTAACCTATCTCACAGATTCACTGGAAGTAGGTTTGAAGCCCCGCGGCTTCAAACATGTGCTTCAAACCTTCATTTTTACATTTTTAAATAAAATATTCTAAAACTAAATAATAAAATTTAATTATTTCATAATTTAATTAAATTGAAATGAGAATAATTCAAAAAAATTACAATTCATTAAATTAAAAAAATTAAAGCGACTATAATTAGATAGGCTAATCCGAAGTTGTTCAACCATTATATTGCCCTCTCAAAACATTCATTAAATTAAATTTCGATCTCTTCCTTCTTTTGCTTTCTTCTCGCTCTCTCTTCTTCTCGAAAATTGAAGATCTGAAGTTGTTCAATCATTGCCCGACCGATATCGTCGTGAGAAGAAATAGAAACAGAGCAAGACCCTCCAGAACCTGAGGCAATTGATTTTGCCTTCTTTTTTCGAATCGGCCGTGGAATGAGGCCCTCATCATCAGAATCGTCAACGTTGAAGGGATGTCATTGTTCGGACGAACTAATAGTGTCATCGACGAATAAGTTTTTGAAAAGGTAACGGCTAAATTAGCCATTGGGGGAGGGGCAGAGCTGTGTCAAACTTGCGACGCTAAAGCTTTGGCGCCTACTTTGACAAATTTTCTAAAATTTTTGACCCAATAGGCTTCAAACACAAGACCACATACTCTTACACCAAGGTAGCTACAATCTCTACTACTTCACTTTTTGTTAAGTGTTGGCATAAATTAGTTTAATAGCCTAAAGTTAAAAGAATACAAATTTTAAAAAGACTAACACAAAGTACATATCCCAAAAATATTAACTCATTGGAAATTTTTGAAAATATTGATACTAACACAAAGTACATATCCCAAAAATATTAACTCATTGGAAATTTTTGAAAATATTGGGTAAAATACTAAACAAAAAAATCAACTCTTGTTTTATAAACTTTTAATGTTTCTAAACACTCAAAGAATGTAATTTTTTTTTCAATTTAATGCTACTACTATTTCTAATAAAGATTAAATGCTACTACTCGAATACATTAAAGTGATTAATACATTAAATTTAATAAAACATCATAAATTCTTTATATATAGATAGAAAGAGTATTGCTTTAATTATATACTCCACACATATTATACAGAGTATTTCAGTAACATATTATTTGTCAAATAACAACACACATAAACTCTTTCTGTCCTTAAAAGATTAACGTAGTTTGACTTATTTGATCAAACTATGACACTCTTTGACCACAAATAAATATAAGTTAATATAATTAAATATTATAAAAATATAATAAATCAACTATATTTTAAAATAAATCTAATTTTACTAAATTTATACTATAACCAAATAAACATTTTTAATAATTCATGGTAAAAAAGTATCACTCTTTAACCAAAAAGTCAAACTACGGCAATCTTTTATGGACGAAGGAGTATAAAGTTATCATAATGTTGCATTACAAAAAGTAACATAAATATCAAGCTGTCGCATAGTGAGCAGGCAATGGCCCAAGAGCATCGGCGCACCTTAACACGCCTGCAAATGTAATTTATTGCTGTAATTTTGGAAAGATGTACATTAACAACAACAACAACAACAACAACACATCAAAGCTTGGAACTCCTAACAAAAGAATTTAAAACTCTATGAAACGTCAATTTAGAATGTCTTCCAATAACACTCTTAGGGCCTGTTCTTTAGGACTGGGAAAAAAAACTGGAAACTGGAAGAAATTGGAAAAAACTGGAAGAAACTGGAAAAAACGGGAAGGAACTAGAAGAACTGGAAGAAACTGGAAGGAACTGGAAGAAATTGGAAGAAACTGAAAAAAACTGGAAGAAACTGGAAGAAACGGGAAGAACTGAAAAAAATTAAAAAAAAAATTAAAAGAAATTGAAAAAACTAGAATAAATTTTAAAATCTAAAAAAAGTTTTTAGAAATTTTTTATGTGTGGTTTTAAATTATTCTCATTCTGATTCTTGTTGATATAAATTATTATTACTATTATAATTATAATTATTATTATTATTGTTGTTGTTGGTGGTGGTAGTGGTGGTGTTATCACGTTAACCAAATGATTGTTTTTAAAATAAAAAAATATCACGAATATAATTTTTCATACATAAAAAGATATTTTAAAAAATTAATTAGAATATAAAATTAGCATAAATATCAAAATGTTAAATAGTTAAGAGTTATTATGGCTATGCTGTATTTATTATAAAATAATATATTTGTAATTATATTTTATACATTACAAGATTTTGTTTTAAATATCTGACATGTCACATAATGTAATCAAACTTATTTTTCTTTAAGGGTTGACAATTTATTTCCATTGTAACCCTATTTTTTGAATTAAAACATAGAACTGGTATTATTCATACTAAAAAGTTGAAGAAAAAAATAATGAATGTTTTCATAAAAATAGTGAGATGAAAAAATGAAATAATTTAAACAAATTCTCAATGGGGATACTAGACCCTCTCTCAGCCCACTAAAAAAATACGAAAAAACCGATTTGGGCTTTAAGTTTAATATCAAGCTCGGCCTACCCCATTATTTACGGGGGGCCCAAAAGTGATAAGGCTCACTTATGGGTTATGGAGTGGAAAAAAAATTAAATAATTAATCTCTAATTTTAGTACGCCTAGGGATATATCGGGACCGCTTTGGAAATATCGTTAGAGATTGGTATCAGGGTTTTAAATAAAATTTTAACGGTGCAGATTATTTTGAAAACACTAGACGCTGCCCGCAAAAAGTCTTTTCAAAATGCTAACGCTAATCTCTAATTCTATTATCAAACTGCCTTTCTACAAACATACTAATTTTTTCAAAACAAAATTACTGAGTAATTAAAATCCAAAATTATTTCACAGTATTTTGATAATTGGTATAATAATGTTTTACCCAATAAGCTTAGTGGACCGGCTAGTGCAAAGCCTATAAATTTTGATATGAGCTGGGCTTGGGCTTGAACTAAAGACATGTAATGTGAGTTGGACACGAGCCTAAAATATTGTAGTTATACAGCACCTAGACCCGGCCCAAACTTTGGTCATGCCTAAGGAGGACTCATTAAGACATAGCGTTGTAGTTATCGGGTGCAATTTTATTAACCCAACCGTCAAATACAGTCAAATACAGGCGATTGATAAAGAACATTGATGTTATTGTTTGAATTTGCAATACCAAAAAAGCATGTCAAAATCATTATTCACTTGAAGCCACTACTTCAAGCATAGGTTGGAGGAAAATTGATCATGTCACGCAATGGAATAGTTTTTATACTTTTAATGCGTGCAATTGATGCCCCTAAGTATGTCGACAAATCCATGTTTAGTTACATGCCTCACATGTAACTATTCATTGTTGCTCGTTGTCGACTGAAGCAAACGACTCTTATATTTAGTTGAATCATATGTTTACAGAAGTGTAATTTTCAAAAGTTCATCAAGTATATCACTAGCGTAATTTACAGGGGCCCAAAAGTGATAAGAGTCCTGTATGGGTTATGAAGTGAAATAATATAGTACTACTAAGAATACATTAATCTCTAAATTTAGCACTACACCGATTTTTTCATATTCAAACACTTAATTTTTTCTTTTAAAAAGTTTTACGGAGTATTTAAATTCCATAATTATTTGTAGTATGTTTTTTTGCTAAGCTTTTACAAAGTATTGATAATTGGTATAACAAAGTTTTACTTTTTTTTATTGTTTAAGACAAATTTTTTTATTTTGTCTGTTTGCCTTTTTTCTCCGTCCCAAAATAAATTGCCTGTTGTGTTCGTAAACTAGTAAAAATAAAATACCTAAACTACCCTTAAAATAAGTCATTCTTTTTCATCTTATTTTCTCATTCATCAATACCCCTCTTAAAAAGTAGAATCAATTTTGAAAAATCAACTCTATTTTTTATTTTCCTTAAATATGCCCAAAAATCAAAACGTGCGATTTAAATTGGGACGGAGGGAGTACTTTGTCTTTAAACTTTAGTGGTTTAGCCTGTAAGTTTCGCGGACAGAGTCTGCCCGAAGCCCATAAATTTTCATAGGAGCTAGCCTTCGGCTTGAAATACAGGCATGTAATACGGGTTGGGCGACCGGGGCTCAACCATATAAAATCAATTATATAGCACTTTGGCCCGGCCCAAAACTTGATCAAACCCAAGGAAGACCAATTATATGACATGGCTTTATTGGGCCGGCCAGTCAATTTGGGCTGCAATTTATATTCATCCTGACTACTATACAAGTCCAATTCTAAGACATTTTACTGGTACTAATATTAGGCTTTAGAATTCATCCACAAGTCACAAGTGACGTGGTTTTGAATAATTGTGCAAAACATAGGTTTTATGGAGTAATTTTTTGGAGCAATAATAATTTTACAACAAAGTAACATGTATTTACTATTTATACATATTAGATAAGTTTCAAATTCGTGACCTTTTTTTTTGTTAGATAAGTTTCAAGCATTCATACTCATTTTTTAGGTAAGACACAATATAATGCTTCCCAATTTAGCTTGGAACATTAATTTAATAGTCAAAAATACTTGTTGCGTTATATCCGTATCTTTTTTGGTATACTAACAAAACCAAAAATAAATATATTCTCTCACTACTATTTAGTACACTAATAAATATATCCATTTTTAAAACTGAAAGTATAAGAGCAATTAGTCAAATACATGCAACAATCACTAATATTTCTACTTTGGCATATCACTGGACCACGTCACGAATTTATTAATAAGAGAACTAATAACTGGTCTCCAACAACAATCCAATTCAATCCCAGAAAAGTAGAGCATTGGGAGGGTGTGTATACGCAAACATTACCCCTACTGGAAGAGGTTGTTCCCAAAGAGACCCCCCAGCTCCAGAACCACATGTAATTACATACGCAGCATGACCACTATTAGGAATGTACCGAGTAATCTATTTTTTGATAGAAAATTCTTTCTTTTACTCTACACTTTTTTTAGCAAAACAAAAAATAACTAGTATAATTTAAATGAAAAAATATAAGTGATAAATAATTTATACTTAAAATGTCAGTCATTCCAAAAGAAATACTCCGTACATAGTAATAAATTAATAATAAAACATAGTTCAATATAAGTGAGTCATAATGCCAAAATTATATTGAAACAGTTCTTTTTACCTTAATATCTTAGGTCATATTGTAGGATTTGTAGCTTCGTTCCATTAGTAAAATTGATGGTTCCTAACTCGCTTAGCCAAAATCAGCATTTCAAGGGATGCTGGGGAAGGTTAGAAGATAAAACCATCAAGTTTACTAGCAGAGCAATGTAGGTGGCCTGACCGTAATATGACCTAGATGCTAAGGATCAAAAGACCCGTGCAAAAATTATACAGAGTATTTCAGTAACATATTATTTGTCAAATAACAACACACATAAACTCTTTCTGTCCTTAAAAGATTAACGTAGTTTGACTTATTTGATCAAACTGTGACACTCTTTGACCACAAATAAATATAAGTTAATATAATTAAATATTATAAAAATATAATAAATCAACTATATTTTAAAATAAATCTAATTTTACTAAATTTATACTCTAACTAAATAAACATTTTTAATAATTCATGGTAAAAAAGTATCACTGTTTAACCAAAAAGTCAAACTACGACAATCTTTTATGGACGAAGGAGTATAAAGTTATCATAATGTTGCATTACAAAAAGTAACATAAATATCAAGCTGTCGCATAGTGAGCAGGCAATGGCCCAAGAGCATCGTCGCACCTTAACACGCCTGCAAATGTAATTTATTGCTGTAATTTTGGAAAGATGTACATTAACAACAACAACAACAACAACAACAACAACAACAACACACCAAAGCTTGGAACTCCTAACAAAAGAATTTAAAATTCTTTGAAACGTCAATTTAGAATGTCTTACAATAACACTCTTAATAGCTCCATGCATTTAAAAAATGCTCCAAACATATGTGCAGCAGAATGAGTGAGGTGACAAAAACAAAATAGCCAAATCAAATAACAAAAGGATGAAGTTTATTATTGTCAAAGCTTTTGTGGCATGGATCTCTCGGATTGGTTTTGAGGGGAAGGGAGGGAATTGGAAGGGAAATTTAAGGGCCCCTCCCTTCAAAGAAACCCTCCAATTGGGAGGGATTCATATAGTACTCGGAACTTCATTTAAGAATCAATACTGACATTCCAGAAACACTTTTACATATCCGCAGCCTGACCTCTATGTTTACAACATAGAGCGGCTGTTTCTAAATGACCCATGATGAGCGTCAAAAGTTGTATGAGTACCAAAATTGAGGTTAAAAGTTAACTGTAAAATGATTGGATGCATCAAAATTATAGGTTTTAATTATCATTTTACTGCGTGTAATTTTATGACTAAACTCATGTTAGACATTTGCATGCCTATATATATTAAAAACAAAGAACGAATTACCTCGTCTTCTTCTGTTTCAATCTGCCCATCCTGCAAACATGAATCAACAAAAATGACAGACCATCAACAGCAAACCCAATACATTGTGCAATGAATAGATTCTATGTCTTGCATTTTTGGAAGATTATTGTTATCGCTTCTTCATCATAAAAAATTGCTTTTTTAGTCAAACTATCAAGTTATAGATAGACCAAGAGAGCCGACCAACTGTGAGTGAGAACATATGGAAAGGTGTCGACACCTGTAATTCTGTAAATGTGATTTCTTGTATTTTGAAAAAATGTACAAACAAACTCTGAAGTTTGGACCTTCTAACAGAAAGACTTCCAAAATACTCCTAAAACATATATTGCACAATAATTACCCCAAGCAATAATCTCATAATCCTAGTCAGAAAAATGCTCCAACTATAATGTAGTTTGTCCTCTATTATGTCTATACTCCATACTCATTTGGCTCTTTCCTCAGCACCAAAGATAGTTTCTGTACGTTATCAACTAATCGGAGTAATTTTTGTTATTCATACTCACTCTGTCCCAAATTAATACTTATAGTTTGACTTTGCACGGAGTTTTAAAAAAATGAAAAAATGTGGTTAAAGTAATGCAGAGGCAAGAAAAAAGGTGAGCCACAAAAAATATTCCAAAAACGGAAAGTGGAAGATTATTGGGAAGCCTAAAAAAAGAAATTAGGCGGATTAGAGAGTATTATTTCTCTTTACCGTACAGTGTTTTATAACTCCATGTCTAAACTTTAAACACATTTTGGACTTCTTTTTGCACAAATTTATTATGATTAAAGAATGAGTTACCTTGTCTTGGCTCCTTCATCAGCACCAAAGGTAACTTCTTTACATTATCAACTAATCGGAGTAATTTTTTTATTCATACTCACTCCGTCCCAAATTAATACTTATAGTTTGACTTTGCACGGAGTTTTAAAAAAATGAAAATATGTGGTTAAAGTAATTCAGAGGCAAGAAAAAAGGTGATCCACAAAAAATACTCCAACAATGTTACCTTGTCTTGGTATGTGCACCACCCATTATGCAATCCTGCATCAACAATAATCATAAAATTATCACCATCAAACACAATATGTTGTGCAATGAATTAGGATTATTTATCTTGCATCTTCCCAAGATTGTTGTTATCAATTTGTCGTCAAAATATTGCTTCGTAGTCAAAGTAGAGACAGACCAAGCCGGAGAGCGGAAAAATTGTGAATGATAACAGAGAGTCTGCACTCCATTACCAAAACTTCTTTGAACATAGGAATCAATACCAACATTTCGGAAACATTTTTACACATAAGTTCCCCTAGTTACCCTTCACCATAACACTACATTGTACAGCTGCTTTCAAGAAAACCTTCAATCATTGGTCATAAACATCATTGACTACTAGAAATAGATTATCAAAAATAAGACTTCTTGTTCAACCACTTTAGCTCAAGTTTATAAAAACTTTGTTATAAGTTCTATGGAAACTATGGGGGAATTTGATTTGCGTATAATGAATGATTCACAAAGGGAAACTAAAAAGGAGTGCTTCACCATTCTAATCATTACGTTTGAATTCTTTGAATTGTTCATTAATAAAATTTAGGATTGAGTTGGAAGTACTCAATCAGACTCCTCAATAATCAACCTACACTAAGCAAATCAATTACGTACTTCAACACAATGGGCATGTTTGCCGACTACATTTTTGGAGTTTAACGCTGCAACCTATTAACCTAAGTATTTAGCAAAAAATTAGTTTGGGGTGACACGAGTTTCCTTGTAATAATTTGTTGGTCCTCGTGTTTTTAAAAAAAATACCACCAGGATCCTTATGTTTTTTGTTAAGACTTTGAGGATACTTTTCAACATCAATAATAAATATTCCGACGAATAATTTGTTGGAATAAATTAGAGGCATTGTATTTCCTATTTTATCTTTACTCACATAGTCTGTTTGTCTCTTCTATTGTGACTATCATTTCATTTTCAATTTTTTTTCTCCAATTGAAACCAAAAAAAGAAACACACAAAATACTTCTTTCCAAATCAATTATAAATGAAAAAAGGAAACTGAAAGGTAAAAACAAACAAACAACCATGTAATTAAGGATAAAATAGAAATTACAGATTTTTAATTATTTTGGCATATTATTCGTTGGAATTTTAGATATTAATGCCAGAAGTATCCTTGTAGTCTTTACGAAAAAACTTAAGGACCTTGGTGGTTTAAAAAAACATGAGAACCTATGAGCTATTACAAGAAAAACTGCATCACCCCAAAGTAGTTTTTTAAAACCAAGTAACATTATTAAATACGGAGTAGATGAAACAATAAAGTCAGCGGGGGCAACCTACCCACTCTCCCTACTCTGGAGTGAATGAGAGGCCCGCGCTACCCAATGCGATGCCTCATTAGTAGAGCGAAACACAAAATGAAAACTTAAAACAGCACCACATGAGGCTAAGGGTGTTTTACAATCGCCAATAATGGAAGAGAAATAAGACCAATCATTTAGGCAAGTGTTAAAGGAATCTACAACTTTGCCATCTGTCACAGTGATCACTTGCTTCCATCCTTTTGTCTTCCGTACAAATACCTCTGCGTTTGAGGATGAACTTCTTCCCCTATATTCTCTAACGGCTAAATGCAAGAGGCTCTACCATTCCAGCATTCAGCCGTGTAATTAGGCGTTTAGAAGAAATTTTCCACTTCTAACCATGAAAAATCTAGCTAGAAATTTGGCGCCTATTTCCATCTATATATAAAACAATTTTACAACAAAAAGACTAAGGTTAATCTGTGCAAAAAGTTGCTCCATGGAGGAATCCCAATCTTTGCCAGCAATTAATTCAAATACTTTCAATTTTCTACAATTAAATCAGTATTCTTTTTATTGCCTTTTTCACGTGAACCCTACTGCTGAACACAATAGAATTAAGGTATGAAACATGATTTTTAATTATTCAATGTAATTGATTTTGGAGCACGATTTTTTTAATACAAGCATTATTGCTATTTTTTAAAAAATGTTAGCATATGTGATGACTCCCAAGTTGGCTTGTCTCATTTTGTCCATTGGTTGTTCTGAAAACTTTGAAATCTGACAGAGGGATATAGTATGAATTCTCTTTATAATTCAACAACCATATATTTTCACAAAATCCTAAAATCTACCGCAAATGTTATTTGAGTTTCCTAAAGCCATCTTTAAATGAGTTTCCACTGCTAAAAATCTGAGCATCTAAGTTTTAAAAAATCTGCCAGAGGGCATGTATCTAGTTTCTTGTTAGTTCCTACTACTCAGTAATTTGCCAGCCACTCTTGGTGCTTGTGAGTTGTGATTTGGGCATGTTAAACTATCCTTTTTTTTCAACCCAGTTTCCATAGGATAACAAGGTTCATTCAAATATTTGAGTGTCTTCTCATATTTGTTGCTTTATGCTTGTATGGTTAGTCAAAACATTCTGTTGGGGTTGGTCCTAATTCCATTTAGTAGCATTTTGTCCCATCGTTCAATTTAGTATGGTTTGTATATATTAGTAATATATTTTTAGGCTAATTGACAAAGTGCGCAAATGTGCTGCCTCATATGATCTTTTCTCTAATGAAATAAGAATAAAAAATGGCCAAAGGGACCTTCCCATTTAAGTATTTGGGTGGACCAATTACACCTAGCAGAATCTCAGAAAGGGAGTGTGAGGCCTTAGTCCAGAAGCTGACAATGAAGATAACTGTTTGGACTTCAAGACACCTCTCATATGCAGGAAGGTGCAAATTAAGTAATACTGTTTTGATTGGGATTCTGTCTTTCTGGTGCAGAATGTTTATCATTCCTAGTAAGGTCATGCAGAAGGTCCAAAGTTTATGCAGAAATTTTCTTTGGGGCTCAAGCGCTGATTATCACAAAACTCCTTTGGTAGGATGGGAAGATGTATGCAAACCTAAGCGAGAAGGGGGATTAGGCTTCAAGAACCTGGTGCACTGGAATTCTGCTTGCAATCAGGCTCTTTTATGGGATATAGCAAATATAAATGACATATTGTGGGTCAAATGGATCCACAATAGGTACTTGAAACTACATAATATTTGGGACATTCAACCAAAGGCTGGAATGTGCTACTATTTGAGGAAAATCTTGAACAATAGGAAGCAATTTTCAGGTATGAACAAGAATTCAGCATATGATACTCAAAAAGGGTACGCTTGGCTAATAGCTCCTACTACAGAATTCAAAGCTTACAATATTGTATGGAATAAACTATCCATCCCGAAACACCAGTTTTTTCAATGGCTTGGTTGGAAGAATAGAGTCAGCACCAAAGTTCGATTGAACAAGTTCATGGAGATTGAAACTAAGTGTGTTTTGTGTCCAAATGGTGAAGAAGATAAAACACACCTATTTCATACATGCTCTTATATGAATGAAGTCAAGGAAGCGATTGGGCAGTAGATTCAACAAAGATGGGAAGCCACCAATGATGAGGAAATGATGGGAGAACTCAAAAAAATCAAAGGGAGAAAGAAGAGGCAAGTGGTGATGGCTGCCTTTGCTGCAAACTGCTATGCAATTTGGAGGGCGCGGAACTCAAAGATCAAACAACAGAAGGTTATCTCTTTGACGGAAAGCGTTGAGTGGATCAAATTCCACATGAAGACGTTTATTAATCATAAGCTTAAATGTATTTATTTGCAGTAGGAAGCTCATAGTGTGATGCTTACTGACTAGTGGTTGTAATGTGATTACTGTTTGAGGTGAATGAAATATTATGCGCTTTTGTTAAAAAAAAAAAGAATCAACATCATTATGTATAGTTCCTTTCATGAAATGAAGTGTTTGTGGCATTGTAAAGTGCATCTTGATTGTCACAAACACAGGCATTTGCTTTGCAGCATTATATCATAGCTCCCGGTGTAGATGTTTCCACCATTTTAGCTCACTCATGGATACTGGATAGTGCCATAGCACGATATTTAGCTCCAGCACTTCTTCAAGCCACCGCATCTTTTCTTTTCCAAAAAATAATATTACCACTCAAAAAAGCACATTATACTGATGTGCAGCAGCTCCTTAAGGGAGAATGAGCCTGAACATCACTAAAATATCTTACTATAAGAAAGTGACACTAATCTTTATATTACTTTACTTGTCTGATGACTTTATGATGTGTCTCAATGATCTTTATGATGGACATCCATTGGAATAAGAAATTTGCTGCCCTTGTTTTAGTAAAAGTTTATATTAGGATTTTCAAGATTTTCAATTGCTTTGCAATTATACATTCTTTGTTCCACAAAAATATCCACAACATTTTCATTTTGAGAGGATTATGCCAATCTTAGGTTGGAGAACTTTGACTGCAAAAAAAAGATAAAATTTGTTTTAAAATAATTGTTATCACAAGACATTACAATTGTTTAATATCATTTGGGTTTATTGACAGAAACATCTATCATTCGCTGCTGCTTCATGATTAGTTTAATCTCATAAACTGTTTTAAAGGACCTTTTTTCGATTTGCATAATCCCTCCGTCCATAAAACTTCCCACATTCATTATTGGGATGTCTAAAAATCATCTCTTTTCATTTTTGGCAAATAAATTAGAGCAAAGTGTCTCTTTTACAGTTTTATCCTGACTTTTCTAGGCCATCTTCCTCCTACCTGCCATTTTCTTTTTCATCCAATCCTCTTCCACCATTATCCTCCTGGCCATTTTCTTTTTCTTCCTCAACCGTTATTATTCTCCTCACCATTTTCTTGTTCTTTTGCTTCTTCCGCCATTTTCTTCCATCGCCTTTGTCTTCCGCCATCTTCTTCCTCTTTTGCCTTCATCTCTCACCTCTGCCATCTTTAAACTTTTTTTGTGTCCTCACTGTGCTGAATCTGAATGCCTTATCTCCATCGGATCTAAATGCTACTGCGCTTATCAACTACTCCGTAATTTATATTCTGTTTTCTATTCATTCATTAAACATGTTTTTTTCTCAATCATTTGCTCCCAAAAAACCTTTCAATTTTTTTTTAAATTTAAAAAAAAAACTAACAAATAGCTGAGTACAAAATATTTTTTTCTCACACAAAGATGTTGAACTCAACTAAATTTTAAATTGTACAGATCAACTTGGGCTTTTTAGTACTTTGTATATTATCAGCTTTTAAAAATGTTCATTTTCCAAATACTAAAAAAATCAAAACTCTAACCACTGATTCTGATACTAACAGCTGACAACTCTAACCTCTGACTCTAAATGCTAACGTTGTTCCTGAACAGGCCAAATATCTTTTAAACCTATCTTTACTAAATAACCAAATGTGGGACTCTAACACTTGAGAGACCGGACACACTGCATAGTTTTGGGACATATTCTAGTTAACCAAAAACAGAAATAATAGAGGCTAAAATGCAAAGCATAACAAAAAATATAACTACTTACCATCACTCCAGGTGCAGTTGATGACAAGTTCAAGATCATTTTTCTCTGTTTTAGAGCAGCAGCGTCCAATCCTGAACATTTCCTTGCATGATAGATGATCATTCAGAGACATGCAACAAAAATCTATGTCAATAATGAGGGACGAATCCATTGGCACCGCAACAAGACTTCGAGAGAGTGGTACTTTCCCATCACTCTCTAATTGTAATGGATCCTTCTCAGTCCTTTCAAAAAGTACGCTCCGAAAATAATCTCTCTTGAACTCAGTTGAGTAGTCAAAGTTGCTATATTGAGCGACTGCACTTCCATAGATCATGCCAGCCCCTAACTGAGTACTCTTAATCCTAAAAAGGATCTCGATGTTCGCGTGACACGCGTCTGAGAATATGGAGTAATGCAATGCACAAAACCCATCTTTTCCCGGAAAAACAGAACATATTTGGGTGTTATGAGGTAAACCTTGGTATACGACTCCAAGGTCATGGATAGCAAAAGCTTTGTTCTGAAATTTCCCACCAACATCTTTTAGATTGACCTTAAGTTCGAGCATTTTGTATTGGACAACCTTCCTATACACATCTATGAATGGTAAAACTTTCTGTGAACCTTTTACTTCCACAGCATCATTACTAGTCTTCTTGAAGAGATACTCAGTATGATTATTGGAAGAGAATTCAACAGTGCCATAAATATTCAATGCTGCCAATTCTTTACGACCAATAAAGATTGAGTAGAATTCTACTAATTTTGATGGTCGTGGTATTTTTTGTTGGCCATGAAGCGGACACCTAATTTAAAAAAAATAGAGCTTTAAACCAATAAACACTTTAAAATGTGACTAAGCTAATATATTGAAAGTGCACAAATGGAAGAATCACAAACCAAGGGTTGCCATTGTTGGATGATGACAATTCATTTTCACACTGAAGAGAAATAACAAAATGTTAGATATAGAGTGATGTAAGATTAAATGTATCAAGAAAATGCAATGCACTTTGAATGTAATATGTTCCCCTCTAAAATAGTTCTGTAGTGTTAGTATTAAAATCTTCAGCTCACAACAACCCCATTATTTTTGGTATCTTGGGGGTCTAGATGTATCCAACCTTCCCCAATAGTGTTTTATAATTTAAAGGCATAACTCATGAAGGACCCCTTTTTTGCACAAAGTACTACTTTTAGAGAATGAATTACCAGATCTTCGTCCGAATAACTCCACATCCGATCAAGTGGGTACTCAATCAGTTTTGCACCCACAAGAATGGCAAAATCACCCTCAACCACTGCACAAGAATCTGCATATGTAGTATTCGACTTAAACAATTCAACTGTCTTTTTAATAAGCTTTCGCCTTGTGTTGAAGTCAGTCAAGTCCACATCAAGTTCAAGAGTCGAATATGCTGGCAACCCCATCCATGTGCTCCACGTCGTCGTGTCATTCTCCATGTTTAGCGGTTCAAAATCATTCTGCTTCTCAAAAAGAACAAATTCTTGTGAATCATAATTGCCATAAGTGCTCTTATATCTGGCAGCAATTTTTCCGGCAACATTAACAACTTGGCCCTTGTCTTTGCTAGAGAGACTGAGATCCACTTGGCAAAGAACAGCAAATGGCATAGCAATATAAATCAAGGTAGCGGAGCAAAGTGTGCCATGAAGTTCTTTTGATCTTACTTCTTCAAGATCACCTTCAGTTCTATCCCCCACCAAAATTTCATCTTGAACCATGGGAACAGCCTCATCCCCAATTTTGAGATGGAGATCCACCTCTATGGTTGTTCCTTGCAATCCCACCCACATATCATAACGACGACTTAAGGAAGTACCACACAAACCAAGAGTGAAATTACCACCGTTGGGGCTAATGGAGTCGGCATCATCAGCACTTCGGCTGTAAACATCAAGCTGCATTGGTTTTCCACTCTGGATATGGTCATACTTCACCCGGACCGTACCATATATGGAGAGTGGTTTGTCTTTTATAGCGTCTTTTGGTTGTACATGTAGTGAATGCAAATGAAGTAAAGGGCCAGCATTAACATAATCACCAGCAACATTACATCTTTTATAGGATATAGAATCTTTGCCTTCAAGTTTTTCGGCTTCTCGTGGAGCACTGATACAATGCATATCGATTCCCATTCCAAAGAAAGTGTAGATTATGTTGCCGTGGGGCGAGAGGAAAATCATCTCCACATCTTGTACTGTAGCATAGGGGAAATCTTTTAGAAGCTTTATGGCACGCACAAAGAGCTCAACCATGCTGCAATTATTGCGAGAGGAGACCCATCTCTCCAATTCTTCTCCCTTGAAATAGGGGAAATCATTTAGAAGCTCAATTGCATCCATGGAGGATGCAAAGAAAGATTCACTGCAGTAAATTAGGATGAAATTAGAGATCTTTATGCGACCCAGAAACTTATACTAAAACGCGCGTTCAATTCAAGTTTTTTTTTGCTTTATTAGAAACAAAAAAAAAGTACGCATAGATTAATCTACCACTATATATATTATTAATAATCGGACCAATATCAATACTATTTCACGGGTTAGGTTTACCTCGAAAACGGATTGTTTCGGATGCCAATGGAAATAGGGGGCTACGAGTGTACGATTTTTCAATATACTCGATGAAGATGAATTGGGATCGAATTTTCCCTTTTTCTTTGAACTCTCCGTATGAGGCACGATGTGGGAGGCACTCGGTTCGGTTTTCAATGGATAATAGGGTTTAAGATTTGATTTTTTTATGACTCAAAGATATAATATTATATCCGTCCCACAAAACATTTCTCATTTTTATTAAAAAGTCACTTTTACTTTTACTTTTTCATACCCTAACTATCACATCATGCTTTTTACTAGTAATCTATCCATCAAATCATACTTTTACCCATCACATCAAAGTACATTTTTAAAAATTTAATACCAAAATACTCCTTTAAATTCCTCCTAAAAATCAAAACGCTCATGTTTCACTGGACAGAAGGAGTACTTTTTACTAATCCTCCGTCTTAAAACGTTCTTCTCATTTCCCTTTTCCTTCGTTCTAAAAATATCTTCTACTCCCAAAATTAGAATGAACAATGACTAATATACCCCAGAATATCTTCCATCTCCTTGTGTTGCTACGTAGAATTCAAAGATAAAGAAGATTCCTCTCTTCATTCTTGAGATCTGTTTTTAATTATGGAAAAATACGAGCTTTGGTAATTTTTTGTAACTTTTGCATTGGTTGTTGTTTGAATTATACAATGAATCTTCAATGTTGTTCTTTCTTTCTTAGAAATTCTTTTTTTTTTTGGAATTCAATACTTGTGTCTTATGCTTTTTTTTACAATTGTTTGATTTCTTACTTTTAAAGCTAAGGGCATAACTGGAAAAGTCAATGCATATTTTCTACTCCCAAAATGGTTTAAAATCAAACCAGGAAGCTAGTTTTAAGACGGATGGGAATATATTTTAATCCATATCACCTAATCAAATTGATAAAAAACTAAAAAAAAAATTATACACTTTAAATTATTTATCCAATGCTATATTTATAGCCCAAAATTAAGTTAGGCACCCAGGGCTTCATATGTATTTCCAGTGCTCTAAGAGATCTTAAAAGACCCAAAAAAGAATGAAGCTTGAGAATAAAGTACATGTGTTACCCTCCCAGAAAAGGCAAATTGCGCAAATTGATTGAAGAAACATAGAAGTTATGTGCTTTACCCTTTTTAGCGAAGTCAAGAAACCATCAAAATGCATAAATTGGTTGCAGAAACGTGAGCTAAAACGTGGGCTCAATTCAAGTATTCTTGTTTAATGGAAACAAAAAACAAACAAACAAACCCGTATAGATGAATCTACCACAATAAAATAAAAAACAAACCTAGTCATTTAACCCCTTATTCTTACAATCTGACCAAAGACAATACAAATTCATGGATTACGTTTACCTCGAAAACGATTTGTTGCGGGTGCCTACGGAAATAGCGGCGACGAGCGAATGACGAAGACAAGTTGGGATTAAATAGTTCTTCAACACTCTTAATCAGAAGTCTAAACCCGATCACGGCTTGGGTAATGGGGTAGCCCGCTAAAGAATACGGACTCAGATTTTAAGTTTAATTACTACACTACTACTAGTAGTAGTGTAGTAGTTAATTTAAATATTTAAATATTTTGACTCATCAAATTTTCTCAATGAATAAACCTATATATAGTCAAGTCGATCTTGTTTGACTTGTATTAATATATAGATTAATAATATATAATTTCTATAATTTTTTAATATACAAATAACATGATAAAATGGATTAAAGAAGTGTATTAGATGATGTGTAAAAATGAAAGTGAACAAATACTCTGTGACGGAGGTAGTACGTGTTACTAAATTAAGAGTCTTTTTCTAAGGAAGAAAATTAATTAGTTATAATATGAAAAGTTTTTTTGCTTATTCTATTTTCCTTTTTCATATTTTTTATTTTTAAAATTACAATGTAATATTTGCCAAATTATAAAGTTACTTACCATTTCAACATTCTTTTTTTGAATTTAAATTTATAATCTTTTTATATCACTTTGGCCCGGCCCAAAATTTGATCAAACCTAAGACCCATTATGACATAGCTTTATTGGGCTATCCAGTAAATTTGGGCTGCAATTTATATTTATCCTGACTGGCATACCAAGTCCAATTCTAAGACATTCTACTTGCACTAAAATTAAAGGAGTATATTCGATTGAAATATTTAAAGGGTTTGAAAGATTGTTTAAAATTCTTAAATTTTGTAAAATTAATGAATTCTTTAAGTCTATGGAGAGTTAGATAGACTTTTATGTATTTTATCAACAAGATTTTATCAAATTTTAGCAGATTATTTATAAACCATGAATTATCTATACATACATTTAAATTATTTTAAAAACCCATATTATTCTAAGATTAATTATTACTTATGAAGTTGACTTAAAAATTAAAAATAATATTATAAAATAAAAAATTTATAGTTTTAAACATTAATATTATGATAAATTATTAGCAAAAAATAATATATTGATCATTGAAACAAGCAATGAATTTGCATTGCAACTCAAAGCCTTATTATTTTTAACTATTTTTCATGTATGTCAAAATTTATCAATAAGAATCTGAAGACAACACAAAAGAAGACATTACTCAAAATTCAAAGACAATTTAAATATAAAACTACTCCGTATTAAACAACATTGTCATCTCTCCCTATTACTTCATCCTTTATTTTTTTTATAGGACCATATAACCCAAAATGGGAAAGTAACAAGCCCTGGAAGATGCCATGAAACTGCAAAATAGTGCAAAGAATAAGCTTGATCCATGCTCAGAGTATTCAAACACTTTATTTCCATGAAGACGTCACTAGAGCAAAAGGTCCAGCTCGAAAGAACCTGTCCAATTGGAAGCTTTGCAGTTAAACATATGGGCAAAGACCACACATTATAATAGATGCATGGTATTTAAGGACCATAGCTTGAAGTTCTTCTGTGGGTCCAATACATGGAGGATATATAGTACTAGTAGTAGTTATATAGGATATAACACAGTCTTTGTTCAAACAAAAAAAAAAAAGAGAAAAACACCTCTTATAGACATTTCTTCTAACATGTAGAGGGCATAAGTGCATAACTATATTAACCTAAAATATTACCCCCCCCCGTCCCAGAAAACCTTTCTCCTTTCTTTTTTCATTCGTCCCAAAAAACACTTCTCATTTCTATTAAAAAGTCACTTTTACCCCTTACTTTTTCATTCCCTACCTATCACATCATACCTTTTTAATAATAATTTATCCATCAAATCATACTTTTACCCATCACATCAAAGGACAATTTTGGAAATTCAATACCAAAATACACTCCCCTTAAATCCCTCCCCAAAACCAAAACTCCCATGTTTTTTGGGACGGAGGTAGTATAATTTAAAAATCTTTTTAAAGAATTTTTAGGTAAGTTTAAGCAATTCAAAATTACATAAATAGAAGCAAGAACTAACAGTATTACAAACAAAACAAATTCAAATAGGTAAATAAGTAAAGAGTGTGATGTCATAGTACAAAAATCAGAGGAGTAAAGTAATCAAAAGAGGGTGATGCCTAATAATCCGAATGGAAGCTAGAGGACTAAAGAGGGTGATGCATATGTTAATAAAATTCTACTCGGCAGAGGACTGAAGAGAGTGAAGTTAGGGCGGAAAGAACAAAACGACTCATCATCAATATGTTAGAGATGAGTGAGGAAAGAACATACCTTGAAGACTTAAAGGCATCCAACTGGAAGCTAGAAGAAGAAGTTGGAGACGATGCATGCGATGATGGATAGCGATGACTTTGCAACATCTTTACATTGTGCGCATGATTCATAATTTGATTTGTATTTATACTCAAAGCCATGAATCCATCAAAATCTATATTCATTTACTTCCGTACTTCCTTTGGCGTGTATATAATATATAATACTCCCTCCGTCCTGGAGTATTCGTCCAGTTTTGACTTTTGGAACTGTTCATCGACTCATCAAATTCTCTCAATGTGTAAGCCTAAATATAGTCATGTGTGATCTTGTTTGATTTGTCTTAACATATAGATTATTAATATATAATTTCTATAATTTTTAAATATACAAATTACAAGATAAAATGGATTAAGGAAGTGTACTGGATGGTGTGTAAAAATAAAAGTGGATAAATATTCTAGGACAGAGGTAGTATTATTTGTGGGAGTATGAATAACAAAAATCCATTCAATTATGTACTCAATTATGCACTCAATTTGCACAAAGTTTTTTAAAAATGAAATTATGTGGTTAAAAGTAATGCAGAGGCGAGAAAAAAGGTGAGCCACAAAAAACTTTCCAAAAAAGAAAAGTGGAAGATTATTGGGAAACCTAAAAAGAAAATTAGGCGGACTAATTTGGGACAGAGAGTATTATTTATCTTCACCGTACAGTGTTTTATAACTTAAAGTCAAAACTTTAAACACATGTTGGACTTCTTTTTACACAAGTTTATTGCAATTAAAGAATGACTTGCCTTGTCTTGCTACGTGCACCACCCACCATGCAATCCTGCATCAACAATAATCATAAAATTATCAACATCAAGCACAATATGTTGGGCAATGAATTGGGATTATTTATCTTGCATCTTCCCAAGATTATCATTATCAATTTGTCATCAAAATATTGCTTCTTAGTCAAAGTAGAGACTGACCAAGCCGGAGAGCAGACGAATTGTGATTGATAACAGAGAGTCTGCATTCAATTACCAAAACTTCTTTGAACATAGGAATCAATACCGACATTTCAGAAACATTGGATGAGAAAGAAGATGAGAAAGATGGTGGTTAACAACCTTCCTGACAGTATATCACCCTGGCCACCACAGCGGCGAGGGTGATATCCAATTCTTCCATACTTTATGCATTTATATGTGAAATCCAATTACTCATCCATCCGTGATCATATTTATCTTTGCAATTGTTGCAGTTAATTCAGTGAGCACTTACGGTTCTCCTCGCCGCTGTGGTGGCCAGGGTGATATACTGTCAGGAAGGTTGTTAACCGCCATCTTTCTCATCTTCTTTCCACCACTTAACCCCTAATTACCCTTCACCATAACACTACATTGTACCGCTGCTTTCAAGAAAACCTTCAATCATTGGTCATAGACATCACTGCCTTCTAGAAATAGATTATAAAAAAATAAGACTTCTTGTCCAACCACTTTAGCTCAAGTTCACATAAACTTTGTTACAAGTTCTATGAAAAATTATGGGGGAATATGATTTGTGTATAATGAATGATTCACAAAGGGCAACCAAAAGGAAGTGTTTCCCCATTCTAACTGTTATGTTTGAGTTCTGTGAAATTGTTCATTAAAATTTAGGATTGAGTTGGAAGTACTCAATCAGACTCCTCAATCAACCTACACTAAGCAAATCAAGTACGTACTTCAACACAAGGGGCATGTTTGCCGACTACGTTTTTGGAGTTTAATGCTAAAACCTATTAACCTAAGCATTTAGCAAAAAATTAGTTTGGGGTGACACGAGTTTCCTTGTAATAATTTGTTGGTCCTCGTGTTTTTTTTTTTTTTTTGAAAACCACCATGATCCTTAAGTTTCTTGTAAAGACTTTGAGGATACATTTCAACATCAATACTTCATATTCTGACGAATAATTTGTTAGAATTGAGGATGAACTTCTTCCCCTATATTCCCTAACGGCAATATGCAAGAGGCTATACCATTCCAGCATTCGGCCCTGTTATTAGGCGTTTAGAAGAAATTTTCCACTTCTACCCTTGAAAAATCTAGCTAGAAATTTGGCGCCTAATTCCATCTATATATAAAACAATTTTACAACAAAAAGACTAAGGTTAACTTGTGCAAAGAGTTGCTCCATGGAAGAATCCCAATCTTTGCCAGCAATTAATTCAAATGCTTTCAATTTTCTACAATTAAATCAGTATTCTCTTTATTCCTTTGTTCATGTGAACCCTACTGCTGAACACAATAGAATTAAGGTATGAAACATGTTTTTATAATTATTCACTGCAATTGATTTTGAAGCACGATTTTTTTAATATAAGCATCATTGATATGTTTTTAAAAATGTTATGTTCATAGCATATGTGATGACTCCCAAGTTGGCTTGTCTCATTTTGGAAATTGGTTGTTCTGAAAACTTTGAAATCTAACAGAGGGAAATAGTATGAATTCTCTTTATAATTCAACAACCATATATTTTCACAAAACCTTAAAATATACTAATGTGCAGCAGCTCCTTAAGGGAGAATGAACTGAATGGTCCCAAACTTCACCAGAATATCTTACTATAAGAAACTAATAAAGTGACACTAATCTTTATATTACATTACTTGTTTCTGATGACTTTATGATGTGTCTCAATTCTCAATGATCTTTATGATGGACATCTATTGGAATCAGAATTTGCTGCCCTTGTTTTAATTAAAGTTTATATTAGGATTTTCAAGATTTTCAATTGCTTTGCAATTAAACATTCTTTGTTCCACAAAAATATCAACAACATTTTCATTTTGAGAGGATTATGCCAATCTTAGGTTGGAGAACTTTGACTGCAAAAATAAGATAAAATTTGTTTTAAAATAATTGTTATCACAAGACATTATAATTGTTTTATATCATTTGGGTTTATTGACAGAAACATCTATCATTCGCTGCTGCTTCATGATTAGTTTAATCTCATAAACTGTTTTAAAGGACCTTTTTTCGATTTGCATAATCCCTCCGTCCATAAAAATTCCCACATTCATTATTGGGATGTCCAAAAATCATCTTTCTTTTCATTTTTGGCAAATAAATTAGAGTAAAATGTCTCTTTTACAGTTTTACCCTGACTTTTCTAGGCCATCTTCCTCCTACCTGCCATTTTCTTTTTCATCCAATCCTCTTCCACCATTATCCTCCTGGCCATTTTCTTTTCTTCCTCAACCGTTATTATTCTCCTCACCATATTCTTGTTCTTCTGCTTCTTCCGCCATTTTCTTGTACAGATCAACTTGGGCTTTTTAGTACTTTGTATATTATCAGCTTTTAAAAATGTTCATTTTCCAAATACTAAAAAAAATCAAAACTCTAACCACTGATTCTGATACTAACAGCTGACAACTCTGACTCTAAATGCTAACGTTGTTCCTGAACAGGTCAAATATCTTTTAAACCTATCTTTATAAAATAACCAAATGTGGGACTCTAACACTTGAGAGACCGGACACACTGCATAGTTTTGGGACATATTCTAGTTAACCAAAAACAGAAATAATAGAGGCTAAAATGCGAAGCATAACAAAAAATATAACTACTTACCATCACTCCAGGTGCAGTTGATGACAAGTTCAAGATCATTTTTCTCTGTTTTAGAGCAGCAGCGTCCAATCCTGAACATTTCCTTGCATGATAGATGATCATTCAGAGACATGCAACAAAAATCTATGTCAATAATGAGGGACGAATCCATTGGCACTGCAACAAGACTTCGAGAGAGTGGTACTTTCCCATCACTCTCTAATTGTAATGGATTCTTCTCAGTCCTTTCGAAAAGTACGCTCCGAAAATAATCTCTCTTGAACTCAGTTGAGTAGTCAAAGTTGATATATTGAGCGACTGCACTTCCATAGATCATGCCAGCCCCTAACTGAGTACCCTTAATCCTAAAAAGGATCTCGATGTTCGCATTACACGCGTCTGAGAATATGGAGTAATGCAATGCACAAAACCCATCTTTTCCCGGAAAAACAGAACATATTTGAGTGTTATGAGGTAAACCATGGTATACAACTCCAAGGTCATGGATAGCAAAAGCTTTGTTCTGAAATTTCCCACCAACATCTTTTAGATTGACCTTAAGTTCGAGCATTTTGTATTGGACAACCTTCCTATACACATCTATGAATGGCAAAACTTTCTGTGAACCTTTTACTTCCACAGCATCATTACTAGTCTTCTTGAAGAGATACTCAGTATGATTATTGGAAGAGAATTCAACAGTGCCATAAATATTCAATGCTGCCAATTCTTTACGACCAATAAAGATTGAGTAGAATTCTACTAATTTTGAGGGTTGTGGTATTTTTTGTTGGCCATGAAGCGGACACCTAATTAAAAAAAATAGAGCTTTAAACCAATAAACACTTTAAAATGTGACTAAGCTAATGTATTGAAAGTGCACAAATGGAAGAATCACAAACCAAGGGTTGCCATTGTTGGATGATGACAATTCATTTTCACACTAAAGAGAAATAACAAAATGTTAGATATAGAGTGATGTAAGATTAAATGTATCAAGAAAATGCAATGCACTTTGAATGTAATATGTTTCCCTCTAAAATACTTCTGTAGTGTTAGTATTAAAATCTTCAGCTCACAACAACCTCATTATTTTTGGTATCTTGGGGGTCTAGTTGTATCCAACCTTCCCCAATAGAGAGGCCATTGTTGTTAGACCTGGCCTAGATGCATGGCTACATTTACTGTCCAAAACTTCCCCAAAATAGGATGTAATAAGCAAGGAAAGTTTAGTATACCTTACTAATTTAAACTACTCCGTATATGCTAAAAAGTTGTAGAAAAAAATAGCCATTTTATTTCCATTGAGAATGAATTACCTTGTTGCATGGCTACATTTACTGTCAAAAAATCTCAAACTAGAAGCTGTAATAAGGGAAACTTAGTATGCCATATTAATTTAGACCACATGCTAAAACATTGTAGAAATTAAAAAAGGTGGCCATTATAGTAAAAAAGACAAAAAGATGACACTTTAGTTCAATTAAGTCCAAGTATAAAATTTATTGCTTGTAAGTTTTTTATGACTCCTACATTTATCTTGATGTATAGTGTTTTATAATTTAAAGGCATAACTCATGAAGGACCCCTTTTTTGCACAAAAAGTACTACTTTTAGAGAATGAATTACCAGATCTTCGTCCGAATAACTCCACATCCGATCAAGTGGGTACTCAATCAATTTTGCACCCACAAGAATGGCAAAATCACCCTCAACCACTGCACAAGAATCTGCATATGTAGTATTCGACTTAAACAATTCAACTGTCTTTTTAATAAGCTTTCGCCTTGTGTTGAAGTCAGTCAAGTCCACATCAAGTTCAAGAGTCGAATATGCTGGCAACCCCATCCATGTGCTCCACGTCGTCGTGTCATTCTCCATGTTTAGCGGTTCAAAATCATTCTGCTTCTCAAAAAGAACAAATTCTTGTGAATCATAATTGCCATAAGTGCTCTTATATCTGGCAGCAATTTTTCCAGCAACATTAACAACTCGGCCCTTGTCTTTGCTAGAGAGACTGATATCCACTAGGCAAAGAACAGCAAATGGCATAGCAATATAAACCAAGGTAGCTGAGCAAAGTAAGCCATGAAATTCTTTTGATCTTACTTCTTCAAGATCACCTTCAGTTGTCTCCCCCACCAAAATTTCATCTTGAGCCAACGGAACAACCTCATCCCCAATTTTGAGATGGAGATCCACCTCTATGGTTGTTCCTTGCAATCCCACCCACATATCATAACGACGACTTAAGGAAGTACCACACAAACCAAGAGTGAAATTACCACCGTTGGGGCTAATGGAGTCGGCATCATCAGCACTTCGGCTGTAAACATCAAGCTGCATTGGTTTTCCACTCTGGATATGGTCATACTTCACCCGGACCGTACCATATATGGAGAGTGGTGTGTCTTTTATAGCATCTTTTGGTTGTACATGTAGTGAATGCAAATGAAGTAAAGGCCCAGCTTTAACATAATCACCAGCAACGTTACATCTTTTATAGGATATGGAATCTTTGCCTTCAAGTTTTTCGGCTTCTCGTGGAGCACTGATACAATGCATATCGATTCCCATTCCGAAGAAAGTGTAGATTATGTTGCCGTGGGGCGAGAGGAAAATCATCTCCACATCTTGTACTGTAGCATAGGGGAAATCTTTTAGAAGCTTTATGGCACGCACAAAGAGCTCAACCATGCTGCAATGTTTGCCAGAGGAGACCCATCTCTCCAATTCTTCTCCCTTGAAATAGGGGAAATCATTTAGAAGCTCAATTGCATCCATGGAGGATGCAAAGAAAGATTCACTGCAGTAAATTAGGATGAAATTAGAGATCTTTATGCGACCCAAAAAGGAAGAAGCTTGAAATAGAGTGTGTTAGATAACCCACAGACAAAGCTTGAAACTTATACCTAAACGCGGGTTCAATTCAGGTTTTACAGATAGTTTAAATGTAGGCCATGAAGATGAATTGGGATCGAATTTTCCCTTTCTTTTGTACACTCGACGATTTGGGAGGAAATAGGGTTTTGGATTTGAGTTTTTTTCGGTTCAATCTTGGGTTTTTTTTTCATTTTAAAAATCCAAAATATTTGCCAGCATGTAATTAAAGAATACTCCGTACTACGTAAAAATCAAAAAAATTAAAGACCTAAAAATTATTTTCGGAATAAAAAAAATTGCATCTTCAAAAGACCTAAAGACCAAAAAATTGTTCATAATAAAAAAAATCCAAAAAATCAAGTCAGCATGTGATTTAATACCTAAACTAGTATTACATCCGTGTGTTGCACGGTTCATATTTACATTACAAAATTTATATTGGCATTACTATAAAAAGAAATAAATGTACCATGCTGCTATGACATTCATGGATATAAATTAGCACATTATATTAAGCAAATATTTTTTTAAAGTACCTATTAAAAACATTTTATTTGAATTTCCATACCTTACAGACCAAGGTTCTCATCGGGCTAGTATGTGCATACTAAAGAGTTTGACACATTCCTTATCCCAAACTATAAAAGAAGCATTATCCGAGCTGTCAATAACACAGACACTGATCTTGTACATATCAAATATTATGAGCACACAACGTACAATCAAGACGGTTGTAAATTTTTACGTAAATTTTTATTTCTCAATTTTTTTCTTTGTTAATCTGTTTACGAAAAAACACACGGTTGTAAATATTTACGTTATATCCTCCTTTAAAGCTTTCCTTTTTTTAAAATGCTAATTTTCATAAGAATAAATTGTCTTTTTTTACACGATTGTAAGAACATAAAAAAATATCAATAACACTCTTTATGTTTCTAGGAAAAAACACACGGGTGTAAAAACATTCAATTCCTTCCTTTTCGGTCATATTACAATGCATTCAATTCGTATAATTGAATTAGTCAGAAGTTTAATTTCCTTTAATATATCCTTCTAAATTGGTAATAATACACAACTAATCATAACCGTAGATCTTTTTCGTACATTGATATCGATGGTGCAGGACTATAGTGCATTGAGCGGGAAATAGTTTCACTACTTTTAAGAATAGAGTGATATTACGGAGTATTTTCAAACCTGAATTTGCATCTTCACAAATAAATACTCCGTATGTTAAGAAATGGAGCAATTTAAAGTTGGACCATGCTACACACCCTCTACCCTTGAGCAGTTTAAAGTTGGACCTTGCCTCCACCAATTTCTCCACCACATATTTACCTTCACTCATTCTCTCTCCACCCTCTAATTTTATTTTTCTTACCTCCCTACCACATGTTTATGTAGGAGGAATGTATGGTAGCAAGAGTGGGGTTTTTTAGCATTCTCCTTTAAAGTTTTATATGGAGTAGGAGCTATGAATTACTAGGACACTGTCTTCTGTATCCATTGAATTGGGCCACGCTATCTATTTGAACGCGCATAGACAACATGATAATAATGATCTGTGTGTCTAATATATACTCACCACCTGTTCTTTAAAGTTTAAATTCTTAATTCCAATTTCTCCTAGTTCTTTCTTAATTAATTTTGTTTTCTTCAAACTCTTTCTATTCCACAACCAATTACTCTAAAAATGATAGTATATTTTTAATGATTATTGTTATTCTTACAATTGTTATGTTCATAACTATAGTTTGTACGGAGTAAATTATTTTTTTTCATCTCACCATTTTTATGATTCACACGCATATTTTTCTTCAAATTTTTAATATTAATAAGACAATTTTTTGTATATTAATCTAAATAATAAACCAGGAAAACATCAATATTTTAAACTATATTAAAAAATTATGGATAAAATAGTTACATAGAATGTTTTTTTTAGAACCACAACACATCTTATTAACTCATCACAAATAATAAGTCATACAAACCCTAAAACTACTCTTAAGACACCATAATATTCTTCTTCAACTTACTGTTAATGAAGCATTTTAGATTAAACTTGCTATAGGAGACACACCAATCCACCGACACTTCGTCCTTTTGGTGCAACTTTTTATTTCTAGCATTCCAAATTAAGTACTCCCTCCGTCCCAGTTTATAACGCCTGTTTCGGTTTACGATGTTTGACTGAAGTTATTTTCAAACCATTTTATATGATAAATGGTATAGAATTAAAAAATAAAAATTACATATCAAAATACTACATTAAAAGATCTACAAAACTAGTAGTGACAACAATATTTTATTTTATCAATTTGCTAACGAAAATAGAGAAAGAAAGTGAATGAAATTTGAGCATGTGAATAGTAAACAGGCATTATAATTTGGGACGGAGGGAGTAACAAGTTGCCGCCCAATCCATACTCTTCTCTCCCTTTTGGTGCCATATTTGTTCAGCTTGTCACAGTATTCTTGGAAGCTGTTAGCTTGGATTTTACATCCCATGGGTTCCAAGATCTTACTGTGCATATCCTTATAGAATGGACATTCCCAAAATAAATGGTTGTTATCCTCTTCTCCTTCTCCTTTATGTACGGAGTAAACTGAAAAATACGCCAAACTCAGGTTGCATTTCATTTGCATGATTTGATTCTTTGAACATCAAATCTGATTTGATAAAATTTAGACGGATTGGACCCGATCAAAACTGATCTGCTTGTAATTATATTTAAAAAAAATTTGCTCCAATTAAATCTAATTTGATATAGACAAGAATAAGTAATAAGTTACTCCGTAGATCAATACTCCCTCCGTCGTAAATTGTAACCCACATTTTGAATAACGTGTAAAATTTCATCTGTTTTAAAATTATTTTATATAAAAATAGGCATAAAAATAAAGAATAAAAATTGTACCGTTCAAAAATAGATAAAAAGAAATTCTACAAAATAAAATGCGACAAGAATATTTTATTTTATCAAATTGTCAATGAAAACGAATAAACAAACAAAAAGTTATGACCAAAATAGTAACTATTGGTTATATTTTGGGACCAATGAAACGTAACCTTACTCAGGAGTAATAAATACGCATGGAGTAGTTAACAGAAGTGGAAGGATGGAATGAAAAATGTTTCGATGAAAGAGGACAATTTTAATCGGCGCATTACAATCTTGTTCACAAAAAAGATAAACCACAATCCAAAAACGGTCATGCTAGAGTGGTACCATGTGTGCACCCACGCTTCGCACAGATAACACAGAAGATAAATCAACCACCATGCCAACCAAGGCTTTGGTTTTTACACTGCTTTCGATCAATCCATCCATCAGAGCAAAGTACAAAAAAAGGGAATTTAAAACGCTTACGGCGACATGTCCATAGGAGTAGGCGTTGGCCCAAAATCGCTCCTAAAATACTCCTAAAACAAATAAGATAATCAGTGTCAGTATAAAACATGCTCCGAAGATGTGGCCGAATCAATGCCGGTCACAAAAACAAATATTTGTGTATGACGGTCCACACCTTTCGCATTAATTGTTATTACTCGTATTATTTACCTTCACTGCCTAGCTTTGTTACATTTAAAGAATGAATTACCTCGTCATCGTCTAAATCGCTGCCCCCACCATGCGAATCAGGTTGTTTTCGCTTGATGCTTGAAAAGTAAAACAAACAGAATTAGCACTCTATGAGGCACGAGAAGCCATTACCTCTATTTTTTTCCTACCAAAGCCAAACACGTGAATTTATACTTCTATTTCATTTTAATATACGGAGTACAAAACAGCCCTAGTATAATCCCAACTCAATAAGGTCTTGTTAGTCAAGAAGTACGCGACCCTGATTCACTTGATGCTCTGAACTTCATAAAATGTAAAAAGTTAATGACATGATTTTTAGATGAAAACAATGAAATGGCTGTCAAGACTTAACAACCCTGCAAAATGTCATTTTGCTATTATCCATCAAATTCTCGCACAAACAAAGACAAAGTACTACTTCACGTTTGTTGACTGTGGAGTACAACTGAGGTATAATGTTAACTGTGGAATGACTGAACACATCAAACTCGTTGACCCTAATTATTACTGTACTTTCTAAATTTATGACTAAACTCATGTTAGACTTCAGCTTGCATCTGCATATATTTTAAAATTAAAGAAAAAAATACCTTCTCTTCGTCTGAATCACTCCACCCTTCATGCAATCCTGCATGAACAATAACTACAAAACCATCAACAGCGAATACAATACGTTGTTCAATGAATCAGGATTCTTTGTCTTGCATTTTGCTTAGATTATTGTCATCTCTTTGTCTCCAAATCAGCAAGACGTGACAAAGCGATGAACTTTGTTAACATTTGAGTTAATTTGTGGCATGGGTTATATCTTGGGAGTATTATTCTTTCTGTACGTAATTGTGTTAGACTGTTTAAGCTCTGGAGTATTTATGTACATTTTCCATTAATTTTTTAATCATATTATTTATCTTCACTGCATAGCGTTTTATAATTATACATCTAAATTCTAAAGTCGAGTTAGAATTCTTTTTTGCACATATCTATTACGATCAATGATGAATGAATTACCTTGTCTTCGTCTAAATCTCTCCACCCATCGTGCAATCCTGAATCAAGAATAATGACAAAATCATCAACAGCAAAGCCAATATGTTGCACAATGAATTGAGATCATTTATGTTGCATTTTCTCAAGATTTTATTGTTATAGCTAAGTCGTCAAAAAATTGCTTCCTGGTCAATGTATAGACAGACCAAGCCTCATAGAGAGCAGATGCAGATCAATTGTGAACGATAACAAAGAGGTTGCTTCAATTAGATCCATGATGCATTTAACGCCCATAACTTCTTAGAACATCAGAAGCACTTTTACTTATACATTTCAGTAGTTACCCTTCATCATCAAACAAGGTCACTGAATGCTACAAATAAATTACGGAGTAGTAACTTTGCTAACTTGGTTTTCATGATTGACCCATCACAAACTGAGAGCCCACTA